TGGACCACCTGATTAAGTTCACAGAAAAACTGAGGGATTTCCACATCTGTACAAAAGGACAGTCGCAACACCAGTAAGCTTTCTAACAAGGAATGCAGGACACTGATGATCCAAGACATCAGAACGAGGAGTCCACACAGCCAGGGTTTCATGATGACCATGTAGTGAAGGGGGTGACAGATGGCCACAAAGCGGTCATAGGCCATCACAGTCAGGAGGAAATCGTCCAACGCTCCAAAAAGTATATAAAAGTATATCTGAGTGATGCAGCCTTCATAGGTGATGACTTTGCTCTGCATCTGGATATTCACCAGCATCTTTGGGACAGTGGTGGAGGTGAAACAGATGTCTACAAAGGACAGGTTGGCAAGGAAGAAGTACATGGGTGTGTGGAGGTGGGTGTCTGAGATGATGGCCAGGATGATGAGCAGGTTTCCAAGCACAGCGATCAGGTACATGAACAAGAACAGAACAAAGAACATGGGCTGCAATTCTGGTTTCTCTGAAAATCCCAGAAGAAGAAAATGTGAAATTCGTGTATCATTCCCTGGTTCCATGTGGTTGGTGGTACTACCAGGGAAGAGAAAACAAGACTATTTTTCACCAAAACAGGCTTTATTAACAGAATGGAAACAGTAAAATTTATATTTTCTAGTCAAAATATTTTTTAGTAAATATAAATAAGTTATGTATTCTATCAAGCAATACACCACTAATCTGTCAGTTTGTCTTAATGTGGTGGCTTGCAAGTTATTGTGATGTTAGAAGCTGTACAACCTCTATTTCACATACCAGCAGGATCACACATGATGAATGGCTTTCAGTGGAGCTTCCAGACTAAGAAATACTAGGAAGAAAGAGGAGGCTGTCCATTTCTGGGAAAAAGAAAAAAAAAAACACCACTGAAAACTTTACAAATAGCAGTGAAACACTGCCAGATATGGTGCTGGAAAATGAGCCCTTCAGGATAGAAAGCACTCAAAATACTACTGGGGAAGAGCGGCCTCTTCAAAGTAGAGTCAGCTTTAATGACGTGAATGGACTTTCATTTGCTGATGTGGCAAAGCCAAAATGGGAAGAAATATTTACAAAACTCCATTACTAATCAAACGTGGCATATATGAAGTATGAATCTAGGAAAACTAGGAATTGTTAAAAGTGAACTAGAATGCATAAAGATCAAGATCTTAGGCATTAGTGAGCTGAAATGGATTGGTACTGGCCGTTTTTTATCAGACCATCATATGGTTCACTATCCCGGGATAACAAATTTAAGAGGAATGATATTGCATTCACTGTCAAATAGAACATTTCAGGATCTATCCTGGAGTACAATGCTGTCTGCGACAGGAGAATATCCTTACATCTACAAGAAAGAACACCACTCATCTGTGAGTTTGTCATACTGTGGTGGCTTGTATGTTACTGTGAGGCTGGAGGCTAGGCCACCAGTAATTCAAATACCAGTAGGGTCACCCATGCTGGACAGGTTTCAACAGAGCTTTCAGACTAAGACTCAGAAGAAGGAAGCAGTCATCCACTTCTCAAAGTATTGGCCAGTGAAAACCTTATGAAAGCATTGAAACACTGTCTAATACATTACTGGAAAACTTTTGAATAGCCCTGAAACACTGTCTA